GGCTAGCAGTCACTGCGACCCTAGAACTGAATAGATGAGCAGCCAACTAAAGCCTTATTGGACTTGGATGAATGGAAATACTCTAGGTCTGTTGAATAAAATGTGGACTTCAGTCATCACAATAAGGGGTTGCAATCCCCAATAAATTCCCAGGCTTGAGTCGGTTCACAGTCCTAGAGCCTCTTAAATAAAAAGGAGGCTTAGTCCTTTTGAGTAAGGGTCCTGCCATGCCTCAAAGATTTATAATGTAAACCTTACTTCTAGCTATCCCCAAAGGGACCTGTAATGGTTTAGCAGGATGATAGCACATTGGGGAAGAAATTATTAGGCTCTTCAGAGATTACTGGACACTTGCTCAAAACTGACACTAACTCCTGGAGATCTAAAAGGCCACTGTGGTTGACCAGACTAGAGGCTTATAGTCAGGTGGTCAATGTAGCTTTTCAGCAGGGTCCAGCTTATACTAAACCCAGTACATCCTCAAATCTACCAAGAGGTTATTTCCCCAGTTCCAGAATGCAAAATTGGAATAGACTTTCTTCTTCTTTCAGGTTGCCTTGCCAATTCTTGGTCATTGGCTTTTCCAAATAAATTAAAGAATCTGTTGGCTAATTTTCACCAAAAATCCTGACAGGGCTTTGACTGAATCTGCAGTAAACATACAGATTATTGATAACTGATATTTTTAAAGTAGTGAGTCCTCCAATCAATTAACATATCATAACCTCCATTTACTTAGGTCTTCCTTCACTGTTATATTAATGCTTGTTGTAGTTGTCTGTGTAGAAGTCTTGCACATCTTTTCATCAATATATATTCATAAACCCTACCTGATGGAGTTTTAGCTCTTCTGCAGTGGAGCCATCCAATAGAAATATAATACAAGTCATACAGATAATTTTAAATTTTCTAGTGGCCATATTAAAGAAGTAAAAAGAAACATGGTATTTTAATATTTTATTTAACTCAGGTTTTCAAAATATTATATCAATATGTAATTATTGAGATCTTTTACATTTTTAAATACCAAGTCTTCAAAATCCATTGTATACTTTACCATTAAAGCACATCTCAATTCAGATTAACTACCTTTCAAGTGCTGAATAATCACATGTGGCTAGTGGCACCATATTGGACAGCATAATTCTACAGTCTTATTTTTATGCCCACTTGACCGGTGTGCAGTGCCATTCGTGTATTAAAGTCTCCTATTATTGGTGAGTTTCTATCTGTGTCTCCTGCGTCTTGTGGTCTCTGCTTTATATAGATGACCTGTGTTATTTACTGCATGCATAGTTGTAACTGCTGTATCTTCATTGTGACTTGTGGCATTTACCCTCTGACATTCTCTTCCTTTGTCTTGTTTCAGTGTCTTTTGGCCTGAATTCCAGTCTCTGGTAACAGGACGACAGCCCTCGCTTTCTTACTGCTTGGCACATCTTTGTCCAACTCTTCATTTCATCATTTTCAATTGCTGTGTTTTATTCCATACAACATAAAACTGGGGTTTGCTTTTTAACCCAACAGGACATTTTTCATATATGAGACAAGCCCATTCATATGACTCATATATTTGTACTCAATACCAACATTTTCTTTTATAATTATTGTATTATACTCTGCTTCTCTACTTGGGTCTTTGCCTTTTTAGTTCTTTTGATAGTTAGCAAGGTTTGTATTTTTGTTCCTGTTATTTCCATTTCTCTTCATTTTAAAAGTCCAATCATTTATTAGAATATGTCTTCAAGGTAACATTGTTCAGGGTTCACTTTTTTTTTTTTTTTTTTTTGAGGGAGTCTCAGTCTATCACCCAGGCTGGAGTGCCTTGGTATGACTTTGGCTCACTGCAACCTCCACCTCCTGGGTTCAAGCGATTCTCCTACCTCAGCTTCTTGAGCAGCTGATGTTACAAGTGCCGGCCACCATGCCCAGCTAATTTTTTTGTACTTTTAGTAGAGACAGTGTTTCACCATGTCGGCCCGGCTGCTCTCAAACTCCTAACCTCATATGATTTGCCCGCCTTCACCTCTCAAAAGTGCTGGGATTGTGGGCATGAGCCACCATGCCCAGACTTAAGGAATCATTCACCTTTTCTAACTAGCTAGTATTTTCCCACTATTATTCTTCAACGTCTTTATTAATGTTTCCTTTGAATCTATTCTTCCTTTGGCAGCCTGTAATTTAGTCTTCCTTTGTAATATCATTCTGTCATTTTCATCTCTTCCTCTCCTGAGTTCATTCAACTTTATTTCTTTATTTCTTTTTTGTACATTTGTTACTTTTGAATTACAAATCCAAGGTTACTGAAGCCCAGATAAATAATTATACATTTTTTCTTTTAGGATTTTGTGTCAAAATGTTTTACATTAAGCCAATTGAGAATAAAGGTCCTATGAAGAGGGGAGAGAAACTTGGAACTCTATTGCCCTTGCAGAAAGTTTCTCCTGGCATACAATCGCATGTGCGCATTCAAAACTGTGACTTGAGTGATCCTGCTGCATACCTATAAATGGAAGGCAAATGGTCAGATCTTCAGAATAAAAAATCATCTTCCTAAAAACCCGGATGCATAGCCTGCTCTTCAAGAAATTGGTGTTCACAAAGGATTAAAGCTTGAAGGGATGGATACTCTATTTTCCATGACATGATTACTATATGTTGCATGCCTGTATCAAAACGTGTCATGTACCTCATCAATATATATACCTAAGTACCCACACAAATTTTTAATTAAAAAAAAGAATTTGAGTTTAAATAGAAACATGATAAATGCAAGAAAGAAAACATTTTAACTCACTGTCAGTCTGATGTTCAAGTGAACTGCTTTCTTCAAGCTCTTTGATCTTTCTGTCACCTAGGGAATATGGGTGGTTTTGTTTTTTAGATTTCTCAGTCCTGAAGATATAAGATAAACAAACAAGGAAACTTAAGCTGGACCAGGCTACATTTTTGACACCTTTAAAACTGGCGAACTTTCTGCTTGAAAATAAAAAGCCTATGGTATAAGAACAGCAAGTGGTTTACAATGCTAGATTCAGCACACATTTAATACATATTCAATGAATAAGTTGAGTGTAGGTAGTGGACTCTCAGCAATATCCTTTGGTTTATCATATTGGCTGGAAGGAGAGCTGCTTTCATGGGTAATACAGGATTTGCGGGTATTTCCAGCCACACTCGCCCACATGGTTATGAACGATGGCAGTCCAAGAAAACATTCCAGATTTAAATGGGGCTGCACTTCATTCTAGAAGGACTAGAATGAGAATGAGGCCTACCTTCATCTGAAGTGTCTCATGGAACCGGGCCTCCAACTTCATCTAGCCATATGCATATTACAGCTGCTGATTTCTACACATTCTTGTATTATATCTATGTTATTCTGTCTCAGTTATATCGACAACAGGTACTAAGAGGAAACAAGGCCATACAAATGTCCAAGGGACCAGAAATAATCCTGGCTCCTTAGAGTTGAGCCAGTCAGTAAGAAAAAAGTTGAACTAATCATTTCAAAAACTTTCTTCATGAATTTCTGCTTAACTTTGTTTGGAATGCAGAAAATGACAGCAGAATGACTACGTTCTTACGTGTAGATTGTTAAACATAATTAACTGAAGTGTATTATCAGAGAAATGGTTGCATTTGTGCATCAGGACATACCCTATGTATAAGAATGTTCATAATATCACTATTTTTCAGAGGAAAACCTTCAATGACCTAAAAGCCCACCACAGTGAAATGAATAAATCATGTCAAAGTTATAGAATGTCATAGTCGACAGCAGTCATGATAAATTAACTCCAGTCCAGGTAAACATAACAACCTGAACGAATCATAGCAATATAATTTTAAGTTTAAAAAGTCCAAAAGATCATATAACACGATATTCTTTTTATAACATTAAAAGAATTAAAATTAAAATACAACACAATACCTTCAGTCTTTTCAATCTCTGTGTTTTATGATACAGCATAAAACTGGGGTTTGCATTTCAACCCAGTAAGACATTTTTTAGTAGACCAGCCCATTCACATTAATAGATATGACTCATATATTTGTACCCAATATCTTTCCCTTTTTTACATAACACAATTGTATTATCATAAAAATATATAAAAATTTTATATGATATATAAATTTTATACAATTATATAAAAAGGGAAGCAAGAAAATAATGAACCCTAGTTAACGCATGACTAGCTAGGGAGGGCCACATAGATTTGTTACTATCAATGCTGTAGTTCTGCAGTTGGGAAGTAATTGCGTGGGTATTTATTATTATGAATAACATATCACAGGAGCAACAGGACTTGCATGTGGGTGGCCAGGAATGGAGTTAATGATGACTCTCGGATAGCTGAGAATCTATGTCACACAATCCGCACCTTCATATATCTATTAGGTTGGTGCAAAAGTAAGCACGGTTATTGCCATTACTTTCAGTGGCAAAGAATATCTAGCACTGTCTGATTTGAATAGGCATCTCCTCGGTACCAAGTAACTTTACGTTGTTTCCAGAAATTTGCTTGAAAAAAATAAATGCTGTACTCCATTGAGGACACCCAAAAAGCAAATAGCACATCAGCTCTTCAAGGCAATTTTAAAAGAAGCTCTAAAATATCTGCACAATAAAATCTATGCTTAGTTTTCCAGATAATCATCCTTCTAATTATTAGGAGGCAAAAACACAGGTGTATATGGATATTGCTTTAAAAACTAGACTCGTGACCTGGAATGGAGAAATTCTCAAGGTAGAGCAGGAACGCTGCCTTCCCCTCAGCATTCTCACATCTGCTCAACGGCAACGCAAACTTGGGGCCAAAGGACTTCTTTCTCAGGAAGAACTGGAATACAGCGCCCTCGAGTGCAACAAATCCGTGTGGGTTTTTTTCCCCTTTGTCTTTAAGGTTTAGATGTCAAACGTTTGGCTTAAGCATAAAAACACTACAGCCGCAGCGTCCGCTGCCGCTGCCTGAGCCAACTCTGAGCCGCTCGCTGCGATGGAGGCCGCCACCCAGGTCTTGTCAAGAGCCCCGACCGTGGTCTACGGCCCCGAGGATATCGAGGCACAATAAGTACCTGACTACGCGCGTCAGCCCCGAGGGCGGCATCCTCAAGGTGCACCCACGACCACGTGCTCCACCTTCCAGACCCCCCGCCCCCGCAGGTGCTCCGGCTCCGGGTCGGCTGGGGAGGGACAACAGCTGCACGCTCACCGCTGCGGTCCTGCCCAACCCGCCGCGTCTGTCCTGGCCCACGCGCAGCGGCCGCAAGGGGGACAACTACTACGGCTCGCTGACTCAGGCGGGCACCGTGGGCCTGGGCTTGGACGCCGAGGCCCAGGAGGTGTTCGTGCCCTTCAGTGCGCTGCTGCCCATGGTGGCGCCCAACGACCTCATGTTTGATGGCTGGGACATCTCGTCGCTGAACCTCGCCGAGGCGATGCGGGACGCAAAGGTGCTGGATTGGGAGCTGCAGGAGCAACTGTGGCCGCACATGGAAGCCCTGCGGCCTTGGCCTTCCGTCTACATCCCTGAGTTCATGGCGGACAACCTCATGCCGGGCTCACGCCCGCAGCAGCGGGAGCAGATCCGCAAGGACATCCCAGACTTCCGGTCTAGCGCGGGGCTGGACAAAGTCCTCGTGCTGTGGACGGACAACACAGAGGCTTCTGTGAGGTGGTTCCGGGCCTCAACCACACGGCCGAGAACCTGCTGCGCCCCACTGAGCTCGGCCTGCAGGCGTCTCCCTCCACGCTCTTCGCCGTCGCCAGCATCCTGGAGGGCTGTGCCTTCCTCAGTGGGTCCCCGAGAACACCCTGGTGCCCGGAGCTCTTGAGCTCGCGTGTCAGCGCTGGATTTTCGTGGGCGGTGACGTCAAGCCTGGCCAGACCAAAGTCAAGCCCGTGCTCGTGGACTTCCTCATCAGCTCTGGCCTCCAGACCATGTCCTTCGTGAGTTACAACCACCTGGGAAACAACGACGGGCAGAACCTGTCGGCGCCTTGCAGTTCCGCTCTAAGGAGGTGTCCGAGAGCAACGTGGTGGACGACATGCTGCAGAGCAACCCAGTGCTCTATACGCCCGGGTAGGAGCCCGACCACTGCGTGGTCAAATACCTGCCGTACAAGGGTGACAGGAAGCGCGCGCTGGGTGAGTAAACCTCGGAGCTAATGCTGGGCGGGCCCAACACACTGGTGCTGCACTACATTTGCTGCTGGCCGCACCCATCACGCTAGACCTGCTGCTGCTGACCGAGCTGTGCCATCGCATAAGCTTCTGCGCTGACGCTGACCCGGAGCCGGACCTTCCTCGCCGTGCTGTCCCTGCTGAGCTTCCTATTCAAGGCGCAGCGTGTTCCGCCGGGCAACCCGGTGATCAATGCGCTTTTCCGCCAACGCTGCTGCATCCAGAATATCCTCAGGGCCTGCGTGGGGCTCCCGCCACAGAACCACGTGCTCCTGGAGCATAAGATGGAGCACCCAGGGCCCGACCTCAAGCAAGTCGGACCCGTGGCTGCCGCCTGCCCTGTGTCGAACAAGAAAGGACCGAAACCTGCTTCCACCACCGACAGCACCGGTGATACCAATGGGCACCAACAAGTGGAGGAACCCCAGATGCCCACCACCTGAGGTCCCTGTCACACAGCTTCCCAGCCCTTCCTCCCCGCTGCCCCCCAGGACCCCACCTTTCCAGGCCGCCCCAAAGACAATAAAGCCGCTGACACTCTCAAAAAAAAAAAAAAAAATTACAAACGTTTGAATGACAGAGGAATAACAGTACAAAGAAACTTACTTTTCGTTAGTAACCATGATGATAACATATACATTAAAAATTGTGGTATCAGATATTCTGTCATGTTTGATAGCTACACATTAATGTGAATAAAATCAATATTTACTTTGAAAAGTGTTTTGAATTATCGGCAAGAGATAAATTTAACAGAAGAAAAAGGAGAGAAGTGGCCAATTTAAGAGGCCAGGTGACAAAGGGAAGAATCTTTGCATCCATTTGACAACATTTATCACACTCTGTGGCATATTACAGCAATCACACACCTGTCCCCTCTGTGCTATGTTATTCATAAGGATAAGTACCCATAGAAAATCGGCTTGCCTCCTGACTGACCTCTCCCGTATGCTGTACAATACTAATGAGGCCAGCAAGGATCACAAGGAAGGCAAAACAAAAAATAGGAGCGTCCTGTTTGTGTTCCTTCAGTACAACCTGCAGTAAGACCTTTCCTCCACTCTCTCCATGTATCACATTTTTGCCCACAAAATTATACAGATTTCTCCAGAATCCTCTAACAAATGCAAATGTTTTTAACATCAAAAAGTTTGCTTACAGAACTCAAATATTCTTCAAAGACTAAAGTTTGAAATCCATCTAATGTCAAACTCCTTTATCTAGAATCCACTAGTTTTAAGTAAATAGTACTTTTAACATACTTCCAAAGGAAATAGAGACATTTTGATCAGATGAAACATTACAGTTACTCTATAAGTTCCTACCTTGTTTTGGCCTGTTGTCGTCCACTACTGTGTTTTACGCTTCCATTTACTTACACAGTGAGTCAGGCCTACCAGAGAAATGTACATGAGGTCAGGAACTTAGAGTACTCTGAGTTTTGCTCTAAGATTCATTATAGTGCTCAGTTCATGAGGTTCAGCTACTGGGCCACTAAAAAGCATGATTTAGAGCAGCAACTTCTCATTCTATGTAGAAGAGGCCAACGGTACTCATCATCTCTCCATGCTAGTCGGCAATGGGGAGAAACTCACTCCCAACCTCCCTTCTCTAGTCCCTCTCTGGTTTGCTCGATTAACCTCAGTGCAAATTCCACTGGCATTCTATCACCTGATCATTCTGGTACGTAGACTCCCAAACCCTCCTAGAATATGTCATCATGGAGTGATCCCAAGTGAGACCAGAGGCTTATCCCTTCAGAATGCCCACCACTGCTCTGATCCCCAACTCCGACTCTGTTAAGCTATTGTTTTTGTTTGTCTTCGTATCTTAATCACCTTTTTTTTTTTTTTTTTTTTTTTTTGTGCCGGAGTCTCTTTCTGTTGCCCAGGCTGGAGTGCAGTGACACGATCTCAGCTCACTGAAACCTCTGCTTCCCAGGTTCAAGCTACTCTCCTGTTTCAGCCTCCTCAGTAGCTGGGACTACAGGTGTCTGCCACCATGTCTAGCTAGTTCTGTGTATTTTTAGTAGAGATGGGGTTTCACCATACTGGCCAAGCTGGTCTCAAACTCCTGACCTTGTGATCCACCCACCTTGGCCTCCCAAAGTGATGAGATGTGAGCCACCACACCCAGCCCCTAATCAGGTTTTAAGTCTCCTATTATATGATGCTTTTGTATCCTCCTGAAATCTTAAAGTATAAATTATATGATCTGTAATTGTTATATCATCCGGTCCTCACAAAACTGTATTTTTTTTAAACAGTAAAATCAGCTCCACTGGCATTTATGGAGTAGTTACTAATGCAGCAATGCTATTCTGAGAAGGAGGAACACATAGGTAGACATGAGAAGCCTTAGAGCTTACAGTGAGAAATAACGTGGCCCAGTGGTGAGAATGTACACAAATATAGTCTCTCTAAATACAGGGATATAAAACTGCATTTTTTAAAACTGCCATTTACACATCACATTATATTCTAATTGCTTCATAGGTAAAAATACTTAAATGTTTTTCCTAATATCCCAAACTGGAAAGTGATGAACATATTTAATTCTCTCTCTTTTCATTTTACTTGATTTCTTAGACAATTCAGATACCGCGGGGGAACTTAGGGGAACAAGCTTGAAAACCAAAGTACTTCAGTAAAATTTATTGCGTGCTCACTATGTGCTAACTACTAGCGTCGCAGATTCTGGGGATAAAACAGTGAGCAAAACCCAGCAGTGATCTTGCACAGATGGAGTTCACAGTGCAATGGAACGAACCCGTAATAATCAGACCAGTCAATGATGACTTATCACAGGAATAGGTGCTGCACAGAAGAGCCAGGGTGCTGAGTGCACAGCACAGAGGGCACAACGTGGACCTGGCCTGTGACCAGGGAATGGACAGGGCGTCCAGGAGGGCTTCCATGCTCAAGGACACACAGCTAGAGGAAAAGCCTGAGGACCACAGAGAGTACGCCAGGCAGAGAGAGGTAGGGGCAAATTCCTTGTGACTAGAGGGTGCAGGACAGTTCCAAGGAACTGAGAGGAAGTGGGAACCAAAGGGCAAGGGACAGCTTGATGGGAAATGAGGCAAAAGAAGCAGGGAGGGAACCAGACTTGGCAGGACCTTGTGGGTTGTGTTAAGGATATATCTTCATCTCAAGACAACAAGCAGCCACAAAGGAGGTCTGCCTCTGTTGCTAATGACATTCTAAGACCACTTATGCAGAGCATCTGACGTAGTCCCAGATCCATAGCAGTAGGCAGCAAATGTTGATTCCCTCCCAGCTTTATCCAAATAGTGTACCAATTAACAATCAAAATGAGTATCTCTTGTATTTTCACATCAGTATCGTTGTGAAATGAATTGGTTTGTTAGAGTCTTAATGGAATGTCCATTATCTCTCATATACAAATACAATCAGCCTTTGATATCCAAAGGTTCTACCTCTGAAACCAAATGCAGATCAAAATGCAGAATTCAATGGATACGAAACCTACGGATAGAGGGATGATGTTTTCCATATATGTGTTCCAAAGAGCCAACTGCAGGACTTGAGTCTGTGCAACTTTTGATATCTGTGGGGGTCTGAGAACCAATTCACCATAGATACCAATGCGCAACTAGATATACAAAAAGTAATTGTAGTTTTATTCCCTAGAAATGAACATTCTGGAAATGAGATTAGGAAAACAATTTCATTTATAACAGCATCAACAAAACAAAATAATGGTAGTAACTCCAAGAAATGAAGCACCAGACATATTCTGAAAACAGTAAGGGAACTGGAAGACATTTCGGAGAACCTGAACAAACGGAAGCACAGCACGTGCTCTTTAACGTGGGAAGAACACAGCACTATCAAGACGGCAATACTTAAAATTCACTGAAAACCTTAATACACTCACGATGGCACTATTCCCTAAGTTGATCTACAGATTCAATTCAATTTCTATCACAGTTCAAGTTGCTTTTGTTCCCAGACACCAAGAAGCTGACTCTAAAATTCATACGGAAATAGAAAGGATGCAGAATAACCAAAGCCATTTTGTAAAAAGAAGAGCAAGGTAGTACTCCCACTTCTAGATTTCAAATTTTACTACAAATCAACAGTAATGAAGACTCTATGTACTGGCATGGAATAGACATGTAAGTCAATGGACCAGAACTGAGAATCCAGATGTCAATTGATTTTTGACAAGGGTGCCAAGATAATTTAATGGGAGAGTCTCTTTTATTGTTTTAACCAACACAATTTTATTTCATTAAGCATAAAGTTACATTCACATTTGTCTACACAGTCAGTAAGGAAACAAAAACTATCAGCTTTCTTGTTGTAGTACTAAATGTTCAGTGGCAGGCTCACTTAAAGGGACAGTCAACCCTGATGGGGACTCGAGATCAGTCACAACTACTTGGGAGGAGAACACAAAGACCACCAGCTTTCTTGCTGTGGTGCCGGATGTTCAGTGCCAGGGCCACTTAAAGGCAGAGTCAACCCTGACAGGGACTAGACATCAGTCACAACTACTCGGGAGGAGAACACAAAGACCACGAGCTTTCTTTCCGTCGTGCTGGATGTTCAGTGGCAGACTCATTTGAAGGTGGAGTCAACCCTGACGGGGACTCGAGATCAGTCACAAATAGGGGGAGAACACAAAGACCACCAGCTTATTGCTGTGGTGCCGAATGTTCAGTGCCAGGGTCACTTAAAAGGCAGAGTCAACCCCGACAGGGACTAGAGATCAGTCACAACTATTTGGGAAGAGAACACAAAGAACACCAGCTTTATGGCTGTAGTGCCAGATGTTCAGTGGCAGGCTTACTTCAGGCGGAGTCAACCCTGAAGGGGACACGACATCAGTCACAACTACTTGGGAGGAGAACACAAAGACTGCCAGCTTTCTTGTGGTGCCGGATGTTCAGCATCAGGCTCACTGGAGGTGGAATCAACCCTGACGGGGACTCCAGATCAGTCACAACTACTTGGGAGACACAAAGACTGCCAGCTTTATTTCTGTGATGCCAGGTGTTCAGTGGCAGGGTCACGTGAAGGCAGAGTCAACCCTGACGTGGACTCGAGATCAGTCACAACTACATGGGAGGAGAACACAAAGACCACCAGCTTTCGTGCTGTGCTGCCGGGTGTTCTGTGGCAGGCTCACTTGAAGGTGGAGTCATCCCTCACAGAGACTCAAGATCAGTCACAAGTACTTGGGAGGAGAAAACAAAGACCACCAGTTTCTTGTTGTGGTGCTGGATGTTTGGTGGCAGGCTCACATGAAGACAGAATCAACCCTGACGGGGACTCAAGATCAGTCAGAACTACTTGGGAGGAGAACACAAAGACCACAAGCTTTCTTGCTATGATGCCAGGTGTTCAGTGGCAGGCTCACTTGAAGCCAGAGTCAACCCTGATAGGGACTCAAGATCAGTCACAAATACTTGGGA